GTGTGTCTACTAGCCCGAGTAAAAAGTTGTACCGGTGGTTTGGGCATACTGGTCATATAGCGTATTTTTTCGCTTGATATTTGATGTAAAAATTCCGCTCTTCTCAAAATCAGCTCGCGCTCGCTAAAACCAGATTTCGACAAACGGCAACTTGAAAGATGGTTTTGAATGTTCGATTCACCCCGACACCCTCCGCATACAGTAGAATCGATAGCATTAAAAGAACACATATTATCCATACTAACTCTCAAATTTTACAGCAATATAATTCAAAGATCAACTTCGCAGAAAGGTTCCAGAACTAAACTTCGCGCATATATAGACTTTTCAAACTAAGCAATAGTTTAGTATGCTGCAACGGATACTCTAAATCACACTAAATATAGCATGTGCCACATATAGAATTCGCGCTGCATACGGGCTTTTCCCCGAGTAGCATATTAATTTGATCAAGTTGTTGATTTTAACATGCCTATTATTTTAAATCCCTTGGAACCATTTACGGTGGACATAAACAAAGAAATATAGATTAGTACTATATTGCTATACACTTATTTGAGGGAAAGATTATTTGGCAGAACTACAGTGCTAGCGCATTTTTAGCAGTGACACGAACTCAGACGTCTGACCTCAGCAATATTTTAATGTAAACAAAAGGCCATAAAGAGTATCAAATTTCAAACGCTCTCAATTGTTCAAATCGCGTTTGCAGACGAGTTTTATTACGGTTTTTAGTACTTCAAAGTGATTAGGTCCCACTTTTAAGAAATTCAGCGTAGAAAATAGTAGGATTTGAAAGCCGTATTTTGACATGGCGTTCTTTGTCGCTAAATATTGTCACAAATGCTCCGCCATTGAAAACCTAAGTGAGTTTAGATGAAATTACGATAGTTTTCCGGTGCTGGGTGTGAATATCAGAAATTTTGAACAAAAACTTTTGAAATTATGTTTATTTAAATTCAGCCCATTTTTTCGTTTAATTAGCCGGCGAATTTCTCCCGCAACGGTGCGAGACCAAAAAATCGCTAAAACTTTGAAACTAAATATATTTTCAAAATTCCACATAGCATTTGTTTGTTGTTAAAGTAAATGTAGTTCACGGTAAAAGTTTCGAAGAAATTTATTTTTCGAGCCCCAAGTCAGTGGGCGGTTTTTAGAGACACACGCTCTTAAGTCATGTAGTTAACTAATTACAGTTAAGGATTTAACTACAGTGATTAACGCTAACTACAGTTAGCGCTAATTACGTTTTTATACAACCGGCCCCAGGTTATAACCTAATTATGTCAATGCTGCCAGTGCAGTCGCTTTTTGTTTTGCCATTCAATAACACTTATACTTCATTTAATACACTGTTTGTTTTGACACAAAATCTATACCTACAAAGAACTTATTAAAATGGATACTGATCTGTCATCATGCAATTTACAGTGCACAAATGACATGGTCCATACAGTCTGTGCACCTGCAGGCTAGCTACCCAGGCCTGTATTCACAGATACTTTTCTCAGTGAAATGCAACATTTAACATTTAATGGAGAATTTTATTAGGGCAAACGCGGTATAGAACAATTTGGTTTCACAAATGAAAAGAAAATGTCGTAATGAGTAGGCAAACGAGGCTTAAAATAGTGTTGTACAATTCTTAAGTTTGTGTTCTTCCAAAGTATTATTGTTGTCTGCAAACACTCTGACGAGCACTGAACCAAAGTATGCTACAAAAACGATGATCATGAAAGCGTTAGCAAAGACATGTCGTCCCCAGTATTTCGTCCAAATCTTTTGTATCGGAATGTCATAAAAGTGAATTTGAATGAACAGAGACACTATATTGAATGCAAAATCTATGGCTAAACTTATCGCTACCCTGATTAAGGAAGCTCTTATCACTTGCCAGGACGGAACATCGTAGCTCATTACAAGATAACATGCTAAATACGCCTGACTTAAGATGACCGTGGCGTATTCGAATAGGATATTCTGAATTTCAAGATCTGCGTTGAATCGACGAATACGTGGCGAATTTAAAGGTTGTACTTCCAATCTTGGTCCACAGCATATTCTGTTGATATATTTTATGAAAAACCTCCAAAGTTTTATACGAACGTTAAGAGTTGCCTTACTCAGAACGTTTGAGATACCATGTAACAGCGATAAACCAACGAAAAGCCAGATATCTTGAAAACCAGACTGCATGGTTCGGTATAGTACGATCGTGGCCCCGCGTAGGAAATAACACAACACAAAAGCGCGATCTGGTGTAATAATCTCCGAACTCTTTCTGAGGATAATGTATTTTACAAATGCAGTCAGTGGGAAAACTATTCCGGGTGTGAGTGCAGCGATTATGGCTTTCTTAATTTTGCCTTCAGTTTTTCTAAAATACTTGATGATAATAAACGTGTAGATAAAAGAAAATAAACAGGCACCTAGGAAAGCAGATGAAAGAATGAAAATAATACGGAACACACTGTACGATGTTGCCGGGTTGACTTTCTTGAATTTACGAGCAACTGAGTAAGCACCACAGACAATAGAAAACATGAATAGGAGGTTGCTTGGTAATCTAAAAAAGACGCAAAGAACTAGTCATATTGATCAGTTGAAGGGTTAGTAGGAGAGGTAGTTCCTACTTTGTCAGCTATAAGGTTAAATGTGAGAAGATTTTGTCAACGCTCTGCCGCAAGTCGTGCATGGGTTTTCTCCTGGTACTCCGATTTGCTCTCGCAGGAAAAGTTGACAGGGTGGGTTAGGATAAGCATAGTTAAGAAAGTAATATAGCATTGTTGCAAATATATCTAGTCTAAGTAGATACTATAATATTTAAAACACGAGCAGGAGTGCTTTATCAGATATAAAAAACGAGAGCGCAGCTCGAGTGTTTTATATCTGATAAAGCACGGAGTGCGAGTGTTTTAAATCACTTCAAAAACTCATTAATAATTCGTGAGAAAACACAAAGAAAAATCATAATCGTGTCGTATCTTTATATGTGATAGAGATTTCCGTTGATTTACATAAACTTTAACTTTGATTTTCTCGACTTACACAACGTATTTTTTGAAAATTACTTCGGCAAATGAACTTAGTACTAGATCGAATGTTTTAGAAGCAATTTAAAACATTCGCAGTGCGTGTTTTATCAGACCTAAAGATACTCGGCTTCGCCTCGTATCTTTATATCTGACTTTATAAAACACTAGCTGCTTCTCATGTTTTAAATAGTACTTAAAAACGACCCGTCTGAAGAATTCATTGGCGAAGTAATTTTAAAAATAAACGTTCTCTATAGCAGGCGAGAAAATCAAAGCTAAAGTTTATGTAAATTAACATGATTTTTAATCACATACCACCGAGATGGCAGTGATTTCGTTTGTCTTTTCTTCATTTTAAGTATTATCATTTTTAGACCCGAAGCGAGTGGGCGCGAATTCGGCGAAATATTACCCGAAGTGATGATACGGAGCGGGAGGTCTATAAATGATATATTACACCAAATGTTAAAGAGCCCACTATATAAGTAGTGAATAACTAAGCGAAGAGTAGGTGTACCTTCAATGATCCAAAGGATACAGGGGAAACGTCAAAACAAATTAAACCTTTATTATTATCACACGGAGTCTATTTCACAAAAGTGCTTTTCCATGGAGCCGTGCACAGTGAAATATCTATACATATCACAATTACAATGAAAGTTACAACTAATACTCGCAACACTAAAGAAAAATAGAAAAAAATCAGGATTGTCTAATTATGTATTTGAAATTTAGAATGTATGTAGTAGCATTTGCAGCTTCAGCATGTGGGCTATTCAAAGGTCTTGAGGAAAAAACTTTTGAATCAGAATGACGCAAATTGTAGTTGTGTATTACATTAGTTGGTGCGAATTTGTTTGAAAGATATAGTCGGGCAGCATTTTTCAGAGTTGCAAGTTACAAGTTTTCAAAGATTCCTCAAAATAAATTGAACAAATACTAGGCTAAAACATGGCTTCATCAAATAGCAATATACAGGGTGTCTCGAAAAAAAGCTATCATGGAAATTCAACAAGCTGTCGTGCATCATAAACTTTGCTAAACAATTCAATTTTTGCATAGGATGAAAGAGCTGTTATTTAGCTTTTCTATGATACCTTTTTTAAACCGTAGCGACGAGAATTGGTCACATACTCGTCAAATAAAAATTGCCGGTCGAAATCACCGCCGTTGGGAATTGTATGGAAAACGAAACATAGACAATTCCCAAGAGGGAATTAAAATATCTAAAATGAGCTCAATTAACTTGTCAATCTTTAAGCCCTGGGTAAACCAGGAAAATTAGGGCCATTTATACGAAAGAAAATAAGCCGCGGCCAAAATAATCCGCGGCTTAAATAAGTCGCGAATTAACGATTCGTATAAACAGTTAATTTGCAATAAACCGCGGCTAAAATAAGCCCAGGCTTGAAAGCTAGACCTAAATAAGCCGCGGCTTATTGCAAATTGACTGTTTATACGAATTGTTCGCGACTTATTTAAGCCGCGCCTTATTTAGGCCGCGACTTATTTTCGCTCGTATAAATGACCCTATTGTTTCCTACCAATGTTTCGCCATGTTTCCAAGAGTGGGCAAACACTAGGAAACATTAGTGAGAAACATAGGGAAACATCAAATGTTTCTGAATTCGCTAGGAAACATTTTTGCTTCGCGGGAAGCAAATTTTGTTTCCGCAACAATAGGTGGGCAAATGGCTTACGGGTGCATGGGCAAACAGGGAAACATTTAAGAAAACATCGAGAATCACAAATGTTTCCACAGCAATGTCTCCTAGTTTGCCCAGGGCTTTAGGCTGATTTCCACTGTCGCGTTTTTCATACGTACGTATACGCACGTAAAACTTTAAATCCGTTTAAATGTTACTTATGAAATAACCAAATAAATAAAGCAACAGAATTCAGTGTTCCGCAAGTTTTAGTATGCTTTTGAGAACATTCGTATTCTTCAAAAACGTAACATAAATTAATGATATTCGAGAAAATTAAACTTAAAGTTTATGTAAATCAGCATGATTTGTAATTGTGTGTCAGATATAGAGCGTTTGCAGAAGAGGCTGAGGCAGAACGCCATACCATGGATTACCCCCAAGTTAATTAAACAGCGTATGAGAAAGAGGGATTTCCACAGAAAACAAGCAATACAACACGATTGTTGATCGAGGCTAGCGTGTTTAAATAAAGTTTTACCATACCATACCATACCATACCATACCATACCATACCATACCATACTAATTCCCCAGAGACCAACTCAACAAAAGCCATTAAAATTCTTTTGAATAGACAACTTGCATGTTAGACTAATTTTTGATTTAGGCAAAAAAAGATAAATTCCCGTAAAGAACTTATTAAAGTCAGTAAAATTGTAAAATTGCAAAATTTGGTTACGAAATGTTGTAAAATACAGAAAATACAGCCTTGCGAAGTTTGCATATTTTCAGTATGTTTGTATTACGTGCGGAAATTGTTGCCATTTTTGAGCCGAAAATGGCAAACTTCGCAAGGCTATATTTTCTGTATTTTACAACATTTCGCAACCAAATTTTGCAATTTTACTAATTTCATTATTTTCTTTTTAACTGTTGTGTTTTATTCCCTTCTCTTTACTTAGATTAAAATTTAGTCTAACATGCAAGTTGTCCATTGGAACACCAACATGGCGCCTGTGACGTCATGTGCAAACGCTCTACAGGGTGTCCCAAAAAACCCCGAAAACTATTGAAATCACCAATAACAATTTAATTGTTAGAATTTGAATGCCTTAGCGCTCTGTTGGTTCCCACGAGTGCATAAATGATTGACATAAGTAAATTTTATGCATAAAGAAACTGTTTAAGAAGCTGTTTTTAATTCCCAGGAGCAGAAAATCGCGCACTTTACCAGGAGATATTCCTAACTAAATTATAATACATGGGCCTTGTCAATATTTTACGCATCATTACGTCCAGCTGTTTGGTAGGGCATTCAAATTTAACAATAAGTGATTTCAATAGTTTTCGGGTTTTTTGGGACACCCCGTATACAAACATCTTCACGCTCATGCTTTCCTTTGTGGTTCATGAATTATTTAAATAATTTCACAATTCAACTTTAAAATGTAATTTCGGTTGTTCATGAAAGGCGTAATACGAGCTTTATTAAGCGAGTCATCTCGGTTAATAGACCTTTCCCCTTTTGAGTGAAAGTTTGATCTAGACGAGTCTGGACAAAAATTTCATCACAGCTTGAAAGAGCATCACAAAATCAGATGATGAAACTGATTACCAATGGTAATACAAAATGACTGAAAAGCGGCAAACTTCGCAAGGCTGTATTATCCGTATTTTACAACATTTCGCAACGAAACTTCGGAGTATTACTAATTTTGTGATGCTCTTTCAAGCTTGTCTAGATCAAAATTTCACTCATAAAGGGAAAGGTCTAACCGGACCAGCCCGGGTCCATCCTAGACGTAATTGTTGAATGGTCGAGGAAAGTTTATACATCATTTTACTATATGAATCATTTACTGTTGATCTAAATTCAACAAGCTTTATAGATCATTTACTTGTATGGTGGTGTTAACCAGTTTATTACTCACCTGTATAGGTTGTAATCAACGTTGGTAAACTTATCAAACATAATAATTCTATAAACACAAGTTATGGATCCTGGTACAAACGCGCAGAAAAATAAACGCGTAAGGTAATTCTTTTTGAACTCTCTGAAACCCCACAACAAGGCGATGCATGCTGGAAAACATGAAAACAACGGCAGTAGTTTGACAGACATTCCAACAATCCGTAGTGTTCGTACGTGCGCTGGAATACTAACATTTTTATGCATCCATTCTATACAAGCGTCATTTGAATTTAAGTCCACGTAGACGACTCCAACTGTGAGTGAACCTAATACGAAAACAACCGCCGTTATTAATCCGACATTTGCCTTCAAACTTCGGATTAATGATTCGCAGAAATTTCGCGTTGGGTCAGCTTGCATCCGAACAAACGTCCCATCTTCATAAAAAGGCACCTCTTGTTCGTATTCACGGTGTATTAAGCCGTCGTATACTTCGTCTTGTTCACGATTTGGCACGGATATCAAAGTATATTCCCTTTGCAGATTTTCTCGGGATATCGGCGGTGTTTGAATGATCAAACGCGAGACGAGGGCCACACAACTACCAAATAGTTCTTCTAGAATCATATCCCTTTAAAGTACATGAATTTGTTTCCTAAAGATACAGTGTACAGTATATGTACACAAATGCTATCTTATCGTATGCATGCCACTCATGCAAATTAAATTTATTCAGTTTTCATTTTCGCTTTGCATACACCCACATAACGCTTTGCATACACACTACATACACCCACATATCGCGAAACCCGAAAGTTGTGGTTTTTACCGGTTTTGAAAAATATTTGATACAGAGATGCTACAAATTGTTTTACTTGAAACTTGGTAGTTGCAATGATTTGCGTTTTTGTCAATTCATAGTTAGGTCAATTCTACATTAGAAATCTTCCGAAACAACAAGTGTTCAATACCGAAAGTGCCATAAAATCTGGCATTTTGGGGGCTTTTGCGGGCTTTTGCGATATCGACAAGGTCTATTGCACCAGGTCAGATACATGTGAAAGCGGACAAAAATTTGCACAATTTTGCCTTGCCTTCACATGCGGTGAATGTAAAGGTGGAATGGCATCATATGAATGCAGTGGCGTAGCCAGCCCGACAATTTGGTCATGCTATGCAAATTTCAAATCATTATCATTATTAATTTCTTTGACAATTGATTGTTTTCACAGTCTATGAACACGGAAATATTTGCATAGCATGACCAAATTGAATGGCATGCGGAATTACTGCGGAATGCAAATTTACGGCGACATTTTTTTCGCGCCAATTTTAGTTCACGACATTTTTCTTTGTTTATTTTGTTGCGATTGAATGATTTGAAGTCAAAATATATTTAAACTGTAATTTTGTTATTTAATTATTTAAATCCGTCTGAATTATGAAAGTGGTCTTTATAACTAACGAAACCCAAGAAAGGTAGATGCAGACTATTTCACATGGAATAGTCCTTTAGGGACCGGTCATTAAAATGGGAGTGGGGGGTGGGGCAGTGGGTGATAAATACCAAATATTGAACTTTTTTAGAGCGGCCCCAATCGCAAGACCTTTATTTTCAAACCTCCCCCACCCCCCACCTAATAGAAAATTTTGGACCGTCCCCCTCCAACCGAACATTTAATTCGTTACATTTTTTGGTGTAAAATAGGTAATGGGACAAGTACCGGTGTAAGACATTGTGTAGCTTAAATAATTAGTGGACCAGTTTTCAAAATGGTTGTTATTTACTCCGATTCCTATTGTGAACTGCATATACGTAATCAATTATGAAAACTACGATTATAGGAACTAAAAAGGTGATTTTTTTTGTGGGATACGACAAAGGGGAGAGATTGAAAATGAGTAGGAAAGTATTAAACAAGTACGATCATACTATAGTGGACCAGAAACTGCGTGACCGAGTTCCGATCTTGTGCAAATCGTTAAACGTTCAAAACCTTTGATTTGATAAACAAATAACTAGACACTTGTGAAACTAATGATTCTCGAAGTGTTGGCAGCGTAGACTGAGTTCGCTAAATGTTATTTTAATTTGGTTATGCAAGATACTTTATCCGGGCAAAAATGTGTCTAGTACCGTGTATAAATATGAGGTTTAAATCTGGACAAAGCATAGATAACTAAGGGGCTTACTCCCGCTTACCCGGGATTCAATGAAGTATGACGTATTTTGAGCAATTGAAATACGTGTTTCAGCCCTAAACAAAAGTTAGATAACTTTAAATATTGTTGGAACGCGCAGCAGGCTGCTCCATTCACTGTTCTAGAACATTTGGAACACTGTTCTGGAACGATCTAAAATGGAGTGCACTGCACGGTGTTCTGGAACAGTGTGTATATAGTTTATTATATATGCGTGCAACCATGCATTACTATATATATTAATTAATTATTCGCATAATAAAGCGTATAATGATTCGCTACAACAACAACAACAACAACAACAACAACAACAACAACAACAACAACAACAACAACAACAACAACAACAACAACAACAACAACAACAACAACAACAACAACAACAACATTAGCAGCAACCTTGTACCCAGGGCATTTTGCTTCCGGTCAGCGAAAATGGCCCTGGCATCGGCCGGTCACATGACCTCAAGATCTCCAGTATTTGGGGAGTTCAATATGATAATTTATGCGCATAAGTACGTAAATAGAATAATTATATTCATTGTAATTACTGACAGGAGTAAACAAACTCAATGCTGCGTATATAATCAAAAAGAAAGCAACAAAATTAATAAGTTGACTTTATTCGGTTTTCGTTGTTCACATCTCATTCAGCAACATAGCCCGTAATATTGATGACTTTTAAACATAACTTAATGAATAACTATACAAAACAAAAGAGCTCCATCGTTTGGTTTATATAAATCGTGTTTAATATGAGCAAATATATTCGTATCGCGATCTTTATTTGACTATAACACTGAACGTTTCTTTCAAAAATCTTATTTGCTCAATACTAGCTTTAGTCCTTCAAGAACTAATTATAAATTTGTCACTCCACTCTCGTTCCACCAAAATAATAATTATTCCCACATATATTGAATAATTACATTCAAAATCATTGACCAATCAGGTTGTAAAACAGACCAGCCGAAGCCAACACCGCGGAAAAACGTCTGCGCATGCACCAAATTATGAAAATATGGCGGGGAATTTGAATATCAATTAATTTCTTAAACAAAAACATGCTTATTAATTGGTCAAAAATTAGTAAAACAAACGAGAAAATATAGCAAATGGGTAGACTAGACATTAATTGAAAGCGTCCTGGTTTAAAGTATGGAATTAAATATAATTCATGTAAAAAATTGTTGATTTTAACGGACACGACTTCGAAAATATTTGCAAAATTATTCAAAACAAAAATTCAAACTCAAAAGTTAAACTCTCGAAAACTTAAGCTTCTTAACCCACTCAAATTGTAGAATAAATCCTAAAGTTTAATTATTGTGAACACGAAAATTTTTTATATTTGGCGACACAGTTTTTTTTAAAGAAATGTATCTCAAACGAAAATTCGGAAATTGTCGTTGCTTAGTTGATAAACAAAATGTTTCACACAATAAATTTGTCAACAATCACCTTTAGTTCATGTTCTTGTACAATACAATTTCTTGAATCTTCTGGCTGTATACGATTTATTCCTAGTTTTTAGAATGACATGTTTATTTTTGCGCTCGAAATCTGGCTGTAAAGACGCACAATGAAGTCACTCCTTTTTACCGCCATTTTGAGCCTTCGGAAACGTTCGGAACAGCTTCTCATCAAGTTCACAATACTATTACAGGTAAGGTTGACGCATGCGCAGACGTTTTTCCAACCGCGGAAGCAAAAAGCCCTGGGTACGAGGTTGGATTAGCAAATATATATATATATATATATATATATATATATATATATATATATATATATATATATATATATATATATTTAATAGAGTTGAAGATTTGTAATCGAGGCATTTTATTAATTGAATAATTCTACAAATTATTTTGTTCTCTGGATTGTAATTTAAATGTTTTGAGCTTTCGACTCGGTACTTCGAGCCTTCATCAGAAAGTTGGAATGTTTGAATTTTCGCTCTGTTCTCGTTCTTGAAGCCTTTGGGAACGTCTGATTGGTTGATCACGGATTTCGGCTGATGGATTGTTATTGGTTGCCATGGAGTGCGGGTGATTGCTTTCTGATGAAGGCTCGAAGTACAGAGTCGAATGTTCAAAACATTTAAATTACAATCCAGAGAACAAAATAATTTGTAGAATTATTCAATTAATATATATATATATATATATATATATATATATATATATATATATATATATATATATATATATATATATTTATATATATATGTTTAAAGATTTGTAATCCAGGCATATTATAATTAATTAAAGTTCTCCGGATTGAAATATACTTTTATTGAGCTTTCGACTCGGTAGAAGAAGAAGGCTCGAAGTACCGAGTAGAAAGCTCAATAAAAGTATATTTCAATCCGAAGAACTTTAATTAATTAAATATATATGTATATATATATAAAATATATATATGTATATATATTTATTATATTTAACAACGAGAAAAATTCAGCGCCGGGAAATTCGAACGCGCGCGAACAAACAAGTTAACGCGTCAACGAACGGTTGATGATGATGCAATCACGTAATCAGTAACAAAATCGTGAACAAAATCGCCTGATGATCGTCTAGAAAGGACGTGAAACTCAGAGTAGCGATATTTAATTTTAAGATATAGACAATGGGGCAAGCCCTTCTTCAGATTACATGTGTACACTTGATTTCAACTATTTAAACTGTCCATACCCTAATTATAATAATTCGCTGGATTAACTCTATTGTTCAAACAAAGTCTTTTAAATTCAACCCATGCGGTTCGAACGAATTCAGTTTATAAGCCCAAAAACCTTCTCTTTGTGTGGGACATGCAACATTAGTTGTATCAATAATTTTAACTTTCACATCTTGCATACCATTATAACATTGATAAAAAAAATTGAGCACCCCTTTCACCTCTCCCATATCTATTCATGCTACTTTTGTGGTTGTTAAAACGTTTCATATATATATATATATATATATATATATATATATATATATATATATATATATATATATATATATATATATATATATATATATATATATATATTATAGGGGGGGGGGGGGGTGTTGACATAATATTCGCAAAATGGTCTCAGTATTAGCACAAATATGAGCAAGCTCTGAATTTAAATTTGATGTCATGCGAACTAAAATATAGCAAAAAACAAAAATATACAAAAAAGGCCCCCATTTTATACCTCCGGCACTGCTAGCCGGAGTAATTAAGGTTATTGTGACGGAAATATTAATTCGCATGACTGCTCTTAATTATCGCAGTTACAACAATCATTTACTGTTAGTCTAGGACCTGTATATGAGTTTGCATGCATTTCATTTAGGACAGATAATCTCAACTGTTTTAGAGTAAGTTGACCATGACGGTCAACATGTTAACGCTGCCCGAACCCCAATCCGGGGCGAAACGTCCGAAACTGACCACACCCAAAAACGACGCTTTCACCATACTGCTATCTACCAAATAATAAAAGCTTTGGCTATTCTGAGGTGC